GATCTTTGACCCCCAGCTTTGACATCCCAACTCGTTTTCGGATTACCCCCCCACGTCCCGAATATCGTGAACGTACGTCGAGCGTTTAGATTTGTGCCCAACTGTTGACGGACGGACGCACGGACGCACGCTCATGCGATTCTAAAAGCTGCATCAGACTATGTCAGATGAGCTAAAAAAAGCCTACCTACCTTCCCAAACACATATTTTTTTAATTGTGGCCCAATCACATCAGAGTAAATCACCACATCCATTGGATGTTTTGATATTAGTAGTCTCCACAACCTAACATGTATGATTTAATAAGCCATTTTAATAAAAAAAACACTTGCATTGCAGAATGCATTTCAGTGATCTGTGCTTCCCCATAGATGAAGTGATTTAAATTGAAACCACAATATAGGTCTACACAAGAAATGCTTACCTTAGGAATTTCTTGGTTTTCGTTCCCATCTAGCATCTGATCATCTGCTGACTCATTGTCTTGCTCATTTGTATCCGAAGTTTCCATGGCGTTTTCCCTACCTTGGTGTCCTTCAGAATGTCCAGATATTGTTATTTCGGGCTGGTCAACATTTGTTTCATACATTACTGCCGTACACCTTTCAGGATTGACATTGTAAGCCTCTGTAGTTGTTTCAATTGTAGCTGTTGCTGTCAGAGACTCCTGATCCATTTTAGACGTCAAGTTACGTTGACTCACAAAGGAGACGGACTATGACTTAAATTATCCTTTACATCCTAGGAGGTTTCTCTTTGTCTGCAAAATAAACAAAATATATATTAGAAAACATGCCTTGCATTATAAGTTTATAACATAAAATTGCATTCTAGAGTTTGCTATATATATAGCAAGCCAGTGTGATTTACAAATGGCAGGTTTACAGCTTGCTATCGAGTGAATCACTTGTAATGACTCGTGTTGTAGTTCCATTTGTGCTCGCTTACATCTAGGGTATAGTAAACATAGGGCAATAGTTTCATTAGCACGACCAGACGCTACGACTGTTTCACGTCATAGGAGCCTGACACCCCTCGATACCTTGTAGCTTGAAAACAAACACCGAATTCGGCATTCAAAAAATTGCATGCCCGCATTTGACCTGACTTGTTACATGTTGCAACTGAATTCTCGCTTATATGGTGTTTCTTAACTGGTATTTACCAGGACATTGGTAAGTAACACCAGTTATTTTCGAAAGTTGCCGAACGCCATTATGCTCGCATTACTACACATACACCAGAACTACGCAAGACTGCCGCATGCATGAAACATCATACAGAATTGAAATAGAAATTGCCACATTGTTTAAATCCAATATCAACAATTTTTGTTGACATGTAAATACATGGTTAGTAATACCAAGAGTCTATCAATCTATTGATAGACTCCTGGTAATACTAATAGTGCATTCAGAGTTAACAATGATGTGAAAGCAAAGGAAGTGGTCAGAGCTACCATATGTTAGGTAGCAATACGTTTTGTTGCATTGCTTTGTATGTTAGAAGAATTGGTCGCTTCGTTTACTTGTGACCTTTTCGCCTCATATTGAGAAGCAAGAAACGTGTGGTTATAGCCTATAGATTCATATATATGTACATAACATAGGTAGAGAGAATACACTACAACAACCATGTCGTAGTTGTACCATGGTGTCTAAATCTTCTAACTTCATGAGTGGTTATACCTTAAAGTTGATCAACCTCACAGCTAAATGCATATATAGATCTACTGTGAGCTCGTCTATGCTGCAAAAATTCACTAGAAGTCATTTGTATTGCTACTTTCATAAGATTTCTTCTCAAAATCTCAACGAAATTACTTCTCTTGCGAAAGTAGCACCACAGTGATGTTTACACATCCGGGACACAGCGGAGCAATCGTTAACAGTTCTTTTTTACGATAAAACAAGTTATAATTCATTATTATGTTTATTCAGTACAAAATTGTGAAATTTGTTTATATCATATATCGTTATCTACATTACATATATGCAATCAGGAAACAAATATAGTGTTTTCGTTCCAGGAACTATTTGTGCTGGCACGTATGGATACTATTTAGCGTCATTTGGCACTTCGTTGTGGCAAAACTACACCGATGTAGTCACAGGCACTTGGAGCGTTTCAATAAAATATAATGCTAAATAAATACGAAATCTATTTAGGCCAAAACAAAATATAGGTGTGGTTACCGTTTCATGCCGAAAAAAAATAGGGTAAGTAGGTAGGGAAAACATTTTATTTTATTAAAACATTTTATTTACGAACCATGTCCAAAGGATGTGCGTTGTGCCTTTTGAAGCAAGAACTGTCTAATTCATATATTTTATATTTTTTTTACTTTAAAGAAAATTGACAATAAAATGTTTAGGGTCGCTGGGAATAAATAGGGTCGGTCGGGAAACGGTAACCACACCTACATTTTGTTTTGGCCTTACTACCAAAGTATTAATGTTTCATACTCTCTTTCACCTATTATTGCCGACAATTTCCTGTAAATGTTGTCCAAATGCTCATCTACAACAAACACTGGCTGCCGCCATTGCTGCCGCTGCACACCGACACATAAATATATAGCAGGTAGGAAAGCGTGCTGCCAAAATTCGCTCGACACTCGCTTGATTTCACACGAATACAACACAAATATTCAACCATTCTACTCCATCTTTGTTTCTATTTCAAGAACAGTGTTCACTTGTTATAAAAACATAATGTCTGTGTTCATAACCAAGCTGTGTCACGTGAAATCACACAAAGCCTGACAAAATTCTTGCATTCTCTCTCGTTGCGCCGTTTATGTAAATGGCTGCCGGAATCAGGAAACACTCACCGCTCTTCGTGACCTCATTTTTGCGCCGCAACACTGCAACGTTTTTGCAACGCTCCACTGGCGGCTTTGACAGGGCTCGTACGGGAGTTGGAAAGCAGCGTGGTAGTTTCCCAAAATGCAGTGCGCCGCCTATAGCCCTGTACTTGCAGCCATTTACATAAACTGAGCAACGAGAGAACGCAAGAATTTCGTCAGGCTTGTGTGATTTCGCGCAACACAGCTCGGTTACGAACACAGACAGTATGTTTTTATAACAAGTGAACACTGTTCTTGAAATAGAAACAAAGATGAAGTAGAATGGTTGAATATTTGTGTTGTATTCGTGTGAAATCAAGCGAGCCTCGAGCGAATTTTGGCAGCACGCTTTCCTACCTGCTATATATTTATGTGCCAGTGTGCAGCAGCAGCAATGGCGGTAACCAGTGTTTGTTGTAGATGAGCATTTGGACGGCATTTACAGGAAATTGTCGGCAATAATAGGTGAGAGTATAGAAACATTAAGACTTTGGTAGTAAATCGATTTCGTATTTATTTAGCATTAATCCCATTATATTTTATTGAAATGCTCCAAGTGCCTGTGGATGTAGTTATTCAAAATAGTCAACTTCGGAGCACATTTCTGGCTCAATGAGAACATTTCGTGATGTTTGCACACTGCAAGTATGCTCACAGAAGGTCTACATAGGCCTTTTGTTGCGAGGTATATCAATTTTAACCCTTAGCAGATGCAATTCCGAGTGAGATCGCTCTCAATCATGTCTCATCATGGTTTGATACAGTTTCGACATGTGCTTTGCAGATCCAGCGATAAAGACCGAGAGTGAGTATAGGACACTACTGGCAGCAATACATTACACGACAGTTCTCTGCGATGACGGCTGCACGCTACTATCTGACTATGTCTGTGAGGCAGAAGCAGGATAAATATGAACCACCGTGTATGTTGAAGGATATGACTGATATAGCTGATATAGTGATAGTGATAACAACATTCAACAATAGAATTTAATAACAATGATATACTATACTACAAATACGGTATTATATACATTTTCGGTGTTAAACAGTTCATTAGTATTTCATTAATGTGTTTCACTCACACAGATACAAGAAGAACTTATATTGGCTTTGTACTGTAGTGATATTTGAATTCCTAACCCCCTTCAATTTTCATCCAAAATGGCGGTGCAAACAACATGTAGAGGGAGCCACATATATTTATCAATAGGCCACTTTACGTTGTTTCCTGCTGTGCTTCCTGTGTAAATGAGGCAATGTGTACGACCATAGATAGATAATAGACATAGAATAAACATTATATATTCTATATATATGGTACGAATACTAGTACTATGGAAGACACCTAGAACCTAGAGGCTACTGTTCCTTTAAATGTGTGTTATTTAGCGGAAAAATACAATTTGAATTTAGAATCCCCTACCGTGAGAGTAAATGTGTGCTTTTTTAAATGGGAAAGCATAATTCAAATTTAGAATTCCCTACTGTGACAGTAAATCAATCAATCAATCAATCAATTAATCAGGTCGAGTCTCCTCGGGAAGAATGGTGATGGCATGCCAGGATGGTCTGTGCAGCATAATTAACCAAATTTCATCGGCTGACTGCAGGCCAGTATTGCGTCTGAGTTGGTCGATGTACGTCAGTCGCTGACCGCCCTGAGAAGCCCGACCCTGTTGAGGTTCCCAGAGAACCAAGTCGTGCGCGGCAACATTACTGTGTCGGACACAGTGCCCCGCCAAACGCAATCTTCTTGATCGTATCTTAGAGAAGAGCGGTGGTAGTTCCCCATAAAGCACCTCATTCGAAACACGATCCTGCCAGGTGACATTACATACTTTTCAGAGCATACTCGTGTAGCATCCATCAATACAAGTCTGGTCTCGTCTCGTACTGTTAATGTCTAGGCCTCGCATCCGTAGGTGAGAATTGATTCTACCGAGGCTACGAAGATACGCTTTTTTAGCCCTTTCGCCATATTTGAGTTCCAGATGTTGTTCAGCTTGTGGAGCGCACGCCAAGCCTGGGCCTTTCTCATGCCAATATATTTACCTGACGAGCTGATATACGAGCCTAGGTACTTGAACTCATCCTTGACAGCTAATATTTCACCATTGAGAGTGGTCAGCTCTACGTTATCCGTGTTGGTAAAGGGTACTACCTCGGTCTTTTTAGTATTCAAGGATAGTCCAAGCTTTCTGCATTGAGTCTCCATACCACATAGCAATTCTTGAGCTTGGTTCACCGAGTCACTTGATAGTGCAATATTGTCAGCACAGTCAAGATTTGTTATCATGACAGGGCCGACTCGCCTATTCCATCCAACCTGTGCTCTTTCTCGCAGCCATTTATTACTTTGCGTAAAGCATAGTC